GTTATCCTCGAAGCACCTGGTCCCGCTGGCGCGTTTTGGTGAAAGTTTTGCAAGCCGGTATTTCAAGACGCCCTTGGCCGGATTCCAGGGCGGAGCGATCGTTGCATCTGCTGCTTCCCCTCGGCCCCGAACGCGGCTCGGGCTGGATAAAACTCTCCCTTGTTCCCAATTTTCCAAACCCTTCCCTGGATCGGGGGGGCTGTCCCTTCCTCCTCCTCCTCCTCCACCGCAGCGATCCAGTAAAAAAATTAAACAAACAAACAAACAACTTCCAGCCTCTCCAGGATTCTGGAGCCGGGATAACGACCAGGAAAATCCCTCGGCTGGCTGGGAGAGATATCATCAAATCCGGCTGGGAATGACGGGGAGGGGAGGAGGAGAAAAAAAAAAAACTTCCGGAGGGAGAAGCCAGCCGTGCCGTGCCGTGCCGTGCCGTGCCGTGCCAAGCTGGTTCTCCCGGGGGCTGTTTGGGATTCCTCCTTTCCCTCCATCCTTTCCCTCCTTTCCCCGGGACGTTCCCGGCTCCTGCGGGGCCCGGCCTGGCTCTCCGGGAACTCGGAGGAGTTAAAAGAGCCCTTTTGATGCGTCAGGGGAGGGGAAGGGCGGTTGGGCAAGAGGAGCTCGGGGTGGCATCGGGCAGGTCGGGCGGTGCTGACAGACCTGACACCCACGCGGAGGGGGCACGGGAGCCTCGTGCCGCGCCGGGATCTTCCTCCTCATCCTCCTCCTCCTCATCCTCGTCCTCCTCGAACTCGGAAGGAGCGAACGCAGCCCCCGAAAATCGCCCGAGGCAACTTCGCAGGGCCGGGGGTGGGCTCTGAGCGGCTGCTCCGGGGACCTGGGCAGGTGTTCCATCTACCTGGGTAAGTGTTATATTTACCTGGGCAGGTGTTTCAGGTCCCTGGGTAAGTGTTCCATCCACCTGGGCAGGTGTTCCAGGTACCCAGGGGGGTGTTCCATCTACCTGGGCAGGTGTTCCAGGTACCCAGGGGGGTGTTTCATCTACCTGGGTAGGTGTTTTGGGTCCCTGGGCAGGTGTTCCAGGTACCCAGGGAGATGTTCCATCCACCTGGGCAGGTGTTCCATCTACCTGGGTACATGTTCCAGGCACCCAGGGGGGTGTTCCAGGTACCCAGGTAAGTGTTCCAGGCACCTGGGTAAGTGTACCATCTACCTGGGCAGGTGTTCCATCTACCTGGGCAGGTGTTCCAGGTACCCAGGGGGGTGTTCCAGGTACCCAGGGAGATGTTCCAGGCACCTGGGCAGGTGTTCCATCTACCTGAGTAAGTGTTCCATCTACCTGGGCAGGTGTTCCAGGTACCCAGGGGGGTGTTCCAGGTACCCAGGTAAGTGTTCCAGGCACCTGGGCAGGTGTTCCATCTACCTGGGCAGGTGTTTCATCTACCTGGGCAGGTGTTCCAGGGAATTTTTGCAGCCGGGAACAGGGAAAAAGTACCAAAAAAAAGCCCTTCCCCCCCTGTCTTGGGATTCCCGGGATTCAGGTGGGTCTGGATTGGTGGGTTTAATTCCATGATCTCCCAGGGATTTTTCCCATTCCCATATATATTATATATTTTTATATCTAAGATTTATGTATAAATATATAAAAATATATAATCTATTAAAATATATAAAAATATATATTATAACGAACATAATGATTTATATATAATATATGAATAAAATAAAATTTGTATTATAATTTATGAAATTTTAAGAATAATCTAGAATAATTTTATCTGTTATCCCACAACCTAATGACACAATTATTTCTATTCACACAAATAATTAAAACACTACAATTACATTTTAAAAAATTAAACAATCAGATAAAAAAAAAAACACCAGAAACCCCCAAACGACTTTTTAAAACAGGGCATTTAATAATTTAATAATTTAATAATTTAATAATTTAATAATTTAATACTTTAATAATTTAATACTTTAATAATTTAAATACGATTTTTAAAATTATTATTATTATGGAGATTTGATTTAAAACGCGATTTTATTCCCATTGCCGGGTTTATTATTATTAATATTATTTATTATTTTATTTATTTATTTATTTATTTGTTTGTTTGTTTATTTATTTATTATTTTTCGGGCAGTTTTTTTCCGAGCCCGAGCCTCGAATTCCCGGCGGGAATTCGGACCAGGAGAAGCAGCTCCAGGTTTTTTTTTCCCGCGGTCAGAAGATGGATCAGAACGGGAATCCCCAAAAGCCTCCTGGGGGGGGGGGGGGATGTCATTTCGCGTTAATTAACGCGTTAATTAATCGCCTCGTTAATTGACCGGAGGGTCTGGAGGAAGGTCTGGGATGCAGGAAGCGAACCGATGGGATTTTGGGAAGGGAATTCCTCTCCCCGGAATGGATCTCCCAGGATTTCCTGGGAATATCCCAAGGCCGGGTTGGATCCCCCCCGGGATGGCGGGAGATGGAACGGGACGAGCTTTAAGGTCCCTCCCAACCCCCAAATTCCTCCCGAAATCCCGATTTTATCCGGTCTGAGCGTTCCCTTCGCGCGTTCCGGCCGATCCAGAGGGAAAAAAAAACCGGGAAAAACTCCGGGAGATGAAGGACAGAGCCAGCCCCACGAGCTGATTTTTGGGCTGAAAATCGGGTTTTTTTGCCCTCCCAGGACTCTCAAAACCTCCCCAAGGGGGGGTCGGGGGGGACCCACGGGTTTAGTCAGCTCAGGAAAAGCTCCCGCGTGTCCCGCGTGGGCGGGAAGTGGAGCGGAACTGGCGGTCCGTGGGCCACCCGCGGGAGCCGGTGGGGCACGGCGAGCAGAGTTCAGCGGCAGTGAGGCATCCGCGGGTGGAAACCTCCACGCCCAGCCCTTAATGACAGCCCTGCAGCTCCCGCGCGTGGGGTCAGCGGGGAGGGACACACGGGGAAACAGCCTCCCCAACCCCTCACACGGGGGCGGGGGGGGGGGCTCCGAAACCTTCCGTGCTGCCCCAGGGAGGCTCCGTGACCCCCCCCCATCCTGTCCCGAGTGGGCTCCGTGACCCCCCCATCCTGTCCCGAGTGGGCTCCGTGACCCCCCCTATCCTGTCCCGAGTGGGCTCCGTGACCCCCCCATCCTGTCCCGGGTGGGGTAGGGGGGGACACGGGGAAGGAGCGACCCCGGGAGCAATCCCGGTGGGTGCGTGGGTGGGTGCGTGGGTGTCCCCCCCCCACACTCCTCAGGCGGTGTCTGCGCCTCCCCGTGGGATGAAAAACGAAGTGGAGGGGAGAGGGAGAGAGAGAGGAGTGGGGAGAGGGGGGTGGGGTGGGAAAAAGCTCCGGGCTCCTCTCGCGGCCCCGCGGGGAGAGCTGTGGGGTGCGTGGGTGCGTGGGTGCGTGGGTTCGGGTTACACTTTCTCGGACATCCCCCTGGGCAGGGAGTGGGGCGAGTGCAGCTCCACCGACTGCCGCCGCCGGGCCTCGCGCTCGGCCCACTCGTGGTCGGGGCCGCGGCCACGCAGGATGGCCAAGCGCTCCTGCAGCGTCCGGGGCTGCGGGGACAGCACCAGGTTGTAGAGCAGAGAGGCCACGGCCGCGCCCAGCAGCGGGCCCACCCAGAACACCTGTGGGGGGACACGGGGGGGTGAGTGGGACCCGGCCGGGAACCCTCCCGGGGCTGGAAGGGTGGGGGGAACATCCCCGGGGGTCCCGGGGGTCCCGGAGGGAGCAGAACCGGGCCGGGACCCCTCCTGAGGGTGGGAGAGTTGGGGACCATCCCTGGGGGTCCCAGGACCCGGCCGGGACCCCTCCCGGAGGTGGGAGGGTGAGGGGACCATCCTCGGAGCCCCCCAGAGGGAGCAGAGCCCACCGGAGACCCTTCCTGGAGGTGGGAGGGTTGTGGGACCATCCCCGGGGGTCCCAGAGGGAGCAGAACCTGGCTGGGACCCCTTCTGGGAATGGGAGGGTGAGGGGACAACCCCCGGAGGGAGGAGGACCCGGCCGGGATCCCTCCTGGGAGTGGGAGGGTGAGGGGACCATCCTCGGAGCCCCCCGGGGGTCCCAGAGGGAGCAGAGCCAGGCCAGGACCCCTCTCGGGGGTGGGAGGGTGGGGGGACAACCCCTGGGGGTCCCGGAGGGAAGAGAACCCGGCCAGGACCCCTTCCAGGGGGTGGGAGGGTTGTGGGACCATCCCCGGGGGATCCGGAGGGAGCAGAACCCGGCTGGGAACCCCCCCGGGGCTGGGAGGGTGGGGGGAACATCCCCGGGGGTCCCGGGGGTCCTGGAGGGAGTAGGACCCGGCTGGGACCCCTCCCGGAGGGGGGAGGGTGGGGGGAGCATCCCCGGAGGTCTCGGGGGTCCCAAAGGGAGCAGAACTCGACCAGGACCCCTTCCGAGGGTGGGAGGGTTGGGGGAGCATCCCTGGGGGTTTCAGAGGGAGCAGGACCCGGCTGGGACCCCTCTCGGGGGTGGGAGGGTGGGGGGACCATCCCCGGAGCCCCCCGGGGGTCCCAGAGGGAGCAGAGCCAGGCCAGGACCCCTCTCGGGGGTGGGGGGACCATCCCCGGAGCCCCCCGCGGGTTCCGGAGGGAGCGGAACGGAGCCCTCGGCTCTGCTCTAGGGGGGTCCCGGATTCCCAAACCACCCCCGGCCCTCTCTCCTCCCCCCTCCCCGCCTTCCCAGCCCGTCGATGATGAGGGGCCCGTCCAGGATGTGCTGGGAGGGGGGTTTGGGGTCCTCTGGGGGAGCTTCTTCCCGAGGGTTTGAACGGTGGGGGGACAGGGAGGAAGAGGAGGAGGAGGAGGGGGAGAAGAAGAAGAGGAGGGGGAAGAAGAAGAGGAAGGGGAGGAAGAAGAGGAGAAGCAGGAGAGGGAGAAGAGAAGGAGGAGGAAGAAGAGGAGGAGGAGGAAGAGGAAGAAGAGGAGGAGGAGAAGGAAGAAAAAGAGGAGAAGGAGGAGGAAGAAGAAGAAGAAGTGGAGAAGGGCGAACAGGAGGAAGAGGAGAAGGAAAAGGAAGACGAAGAGGAGGAAGAGGAGAAGGAACAAGAGGAGGAAGAACAAGAGAAGGAAGAAAAGGAGAAAGAGAAGGAGGAGGAAGAGGAAAAGGAGGAGGAAGAGGAAGCACCACCTTGGGCTGGACCCCTCTGAGCTCATCCCCCCGAGCCAAAATCCCCCCTGGAAGCAGGGAAGGACCCCCGCGCTCCACCGGCCTCGCTCCTCCCGCCCAGTCACTCGCGACAAACCCCACGCCCCGCTCCTGTCGCAACCCCGCGTGGGACCAGCCGGGCTGGCACCTCCCTCTCCTTTTCCTCCTCTCCCATCCCTGCTCCAGCCGGGATCCCGCCGGGAGCTGGCTCCGAGGCTTTGGGGGAGGGGGGGAATTTTTGGGGGGGTTTATCCCACCCCCGTCCTTACCCAGTGGTCGCTGAAGTCGCCCACGATGACGGCGGGGGCGAAGGATCGCGCGGGGTTCATGGAGCAGCCGGTGTAGCGGATCTGCCGGGAGAGCGCTGGGATCACCCGCCGCTCCCAAAAAAAACCCCCTTTTTTGGGATTTACCCGAATCCTGGGATGTCTTGGACGTGATCTATCCCCCCGCTTCTCCCTCCTCCGGCATTCCCAGCGCCGGGAATTCCTCCCGACCCCTCCCCAGGAGCGCAGGGATGGATCCTGCCCCGTCTGATCCCGCCGGGAATTCCTTCCCTGAGCTCCGTGTCCGCTCCAAGGAGAGCGGGGATGGATCCTGCCCCGTCTGATCCCGCCGGGAATTCCTTCCCTGAGCTCCGTGTCCGCTCCAAGGAGAGCAGGGATGGATCCCGCCCGGCCCGATCCCACCGGGAATTCCTTCCCCGTCCATCCCGGGACACGGGAGGGTTGTGAAGGTGGAGTTTTAGTCCCGATCCCGGCGGGAATTCCCGCAGCGTCCATCCCAAAATTCCCGGGGTCTCCGTTCCCCGACACGGTCACTCCCCACGCGGGAAAGATCCCACCGGCCCCTGGAGCTTCAGAGCCCAGAAAATCGAGGCTTTTCCCGGCTGAAATTCGGGATTTTGTGCCCCAAAATTAAGGTTTTTTATGCCCCTCCAATTAAGGTTTTTCGTGCCCAAAATGAAGGCCTTTCAAGCCCAAAATGAAGGTTTTCATGTCCTAAAAACAAGGGGGTTATGCCCCCAAATTAAGGGGTTTTTTAATGCCCCAACATTAAGGTTTTCAAGCCCCAAAATAAAGGTCTTCAAGTCCTAAAAACAAGGGCTTTATGCCCCAAAATCAAGGGCTTCATGCCCCCCCAAATTAAGCTTTTTTTTTTTTTGTGCTCCAAATTCCGGGTTTCCATAAACCTTAAAATTCAGGTTTTCATGCCCAAAATAAAGGCTTTTCATGACTCCAAAAATGAAGATTTTTTGGGGGCCTAAAATTAAGGCCTCTTTTCATGTCCCGAAATTCAGCATTTCATGCCCCCCAAAATTCAGCTTTTCAAGCCCGAAATTCAGCGTTTCATAACCCCGAAATTCATGTTTTTCACACCCCAAAAACCCTCCGTGTTTCATTCCCCAAAATTCACCCAAAAATTCACCTTTGCACTCCAAAAATTCACCTTTCCACCCCCAAAATTCACCTTTCCACCCCCCAAAATTCACCTTTCCACGCCCCAAAATTAAGGTTTCTGTGCCTCAAAAATTCACCTTCCCAAGCCCAAAAAATTCGCCTTCCCCTCCACACCCTCCCCGCTCCCCCCCGGGCGTGTTTTCTCCCGGTTTATCCCGGTTTTTCTCCCATTTTTTCTCCCGGTTTCTCCCGGTTTTCATCCTCGTTTTCTCCCTGTTTTTCTCCCGGTTTATCCCGGTTTTTCTCCCATTTTTTCTCCCGGTTCATCCCGGTTTTTCTCCCATTTTTTCTCCCGTTTTCTCCCGGTTTTCATCCCCGTTTTCTCCCATTTTTTCTCCCGGTTCATCCCGGTTTTTCTCCCATTTTTTCTCCCGGTTTCTCCCGGTTTTT